TCCTTCTAAAACAATTCGATTTGTAAATCCTAGCTGTATAGGCTAGCTAGACTATAAAGTTGACAGTCAGCTGATATTAGTTTGCATATGCATACACATGACATTGTTTTCATAATTTATGTGGTCATTTTTGTGAACACATGGTAATTAGTTCTACTTCTGGTCAATTGTTTTATAATACGAATGGGAATTTTAATGCTAACCTAAACTTCAAAATTATCTCCTATACAAGAGATCTGTCAAAACTGTTGTTAATAAAAATATTTGACTGCTAAGTTTTGCGATAGAAAAAGCTTGTAGTCTAGCTATTCCTTCTAAAACAATTTGATTTGTAAATCGAGGAACTAAATCCTGTCAACTTTGTAGACTAGCAAGACTACAAAGTTGACAGTCAGCTGATGTTTGTTTACATATACATGCACATGTCATTGTTTACATAATTTATGCGACCATTTCTACTTCTGGTCAATATTTTTATAATTCTAATAAGAATTTTAATGCTAATAAAACTTCAAAATAATCTCCTATACAAGATTTTTGTTAAAACTGTTGTTAATTAAAATATTTTATCACTAATTTTTGCGATTGAAAAAGCTTGTTAAGACTATGGCTTCTAAAACGACTTGATTTGTAATTCGGGGAACTAAATGCTAGCTGTTTAGACTAGCTAAACCATAAATTTGACAGTCAGCTGATATTTGTTTACATATACATACACATTTGTTCGTTATACGATATTTACCTTTTGCATAGAAAATATTATTTAAAACAGTTCGATAACTTATCGTCTAACCTTAAGTATGGTCCAAAAATTTTAACTAAATTTAAAAATGTGCAGAATAATGCACCCTCATTGGCCTCTCTAAAAATCCTTCATCTAAATACCTTCACCTTCAATATTCGACATCGAATTTATTAATTCATATGAACCATAAGAAAATGATTTATTAGCCCCCATTTTTATTATTTTATAATTTGCCATTGATTATGTTGGGAAAAACACAAGAACACAAGCCTGAAGATATCACTGCGAAATTAATTGCATGTACTTATGTTTTATGGGCTAATTAAAAAATGATTATTTTTTTGTTTATAACTCAGCCATCTTGATAATCTTTAACACGATCTTTTGAAATAGGACTGATTAAAAATTTTTGTTCATGCGGTAATCATGAGGGTGATTTCAATGGTTTATCGGTGGGGGTAAATAAAAATCTCTAATCTTTAATGCTAAATAATAACAATAATTATAGATTTTCTTTACGTAAATATTGTTATAAAACATATGTTTGTGCCAGTTCAAAAAAAAAAGTTGGAACACTCGATTACAGTAAATTCTAATAAACAATCATTTATCAACCATAAATATTAATATTAATTAATCTAGTGCAATTAAAAAAAATACTAGACTAAATGTTTTGCAAATCAGGGTTGTATTTCTTAGCATCTACTCAAAAATGTCTTGTGTGAAGTCAATGTTACAACCATGGCATATAAATAAGGTCACCCAGGGAGACCAGTTGATAATCGATACCTCTCAAGTTTGCTGTCAAAATGCATTATTGTGAATTGACTTCCATTATGAAAACATAAACAAAGTCGAAATTTATGACATTCGACTTGAGAAAAAACATGTGATTTCCGATTTCGATTGCCATCTTCGTGACCTTATTAATAAATCTTGGTTACAACCATGGCATTATTATACAAGGTAGTCTCATGCAGTCATATGTTTCCAATTTTTCAAAAAATTGCCTTTGATAGTATTCAGCTTTCAAAATTTAAATGAAAAATGGCAAAAATTGCTAAATCAATAATATTTATAAATATTTTGAAGTTCCCTGCCTCTAAAACTTATAAATAAAGGATGTAACAAACATAGTTAAATCTTGAGAGCAATGTTCAGCTTTAGAAAATATATTTTGTTTAATTTATATATTTTGTATACATCACATTAATCCTGTTCACAAATCCAGTGGATTATATTTTACATATACGCTATGGAATCGACATTAAAGATCGAGTGGAGTTTTATAATGGCATAATTATGGAAGGTAGTCTCATTTGAGGAATTGATAATGGCGACCCTTTTTAATATGCAAATCATATATCAATTTCAAATAAAATAAAAACATCCATAAATTTTATGTAGTCCATTGACGCATTTTCGATAAATTTTTCAAAAATTGTACTTTGTTCTTAAGATGTAACTATGGGTGTTATAACTTATAATTTTAGGTTTTGGAGGTTGGGATTTTTAATTCAATTTTAATAAATATAAGTAGTTTCTCAAATTTTTGCCACTGAACATATGTTCATAAATATCTAAGATCATAAAAATCTTAAAAGCTGAATGTTGTCAAAAGCAAATTTATGAAAACATTGGAAACATGTGTCTGCATGAGCCTACCTTGTATAATTATGCCTGAATGTTTACATCAAAGCCTATTAATAAGGTCATCCAGGGAGACCAGCTGGATATCAGCTGTCTCTAAGTTTGCTGTCAAATTCCATTATTGTGAATTGACTTCCATTATGAAAAAGTAAACAAAGTTCAAATTTTTTGACATTCGACTTGAGATTCTGATTCCCGCTTGCTATGTGGCCTTATTAATAGATACTGGTTTACATATATAAAAAACCATGACACAATAAATTGGTACTCCATTTAGCGCAGCTGACTATCCGATTAACTGCCAAAGTTCATAGCTTGTACTTGAATTCGATGTGCAATGTTGCCAACCATGAGAAATATTAATATATAACATTTGACAGATGGTTGAATTGAAAACAGATGTTTTTGTTTTGTTATTAAGATTTCTGATTTAATTTTTAGATACAACATGGAGCACGTTTAGACTACTAAATCCACTCAATCTCAAATGTCAATTCCATATTATATTTGACGTATACGATATGTAATTAACATTTGAGATTGAGTGGATTTCGTAAATCTAAACTCACTTTTAATGTGTTTATTAATTAATTATGTTAACCATTCTCCATGTGAATCAAAAAATGGGCTTTTAGACTATTCTTTCTAAATTGAGATAAAAAATGATTTACAGCTGACAGTCAGCTGTTATTTGTTTATGTATACATACACATTTCAAATTATTGGTCTGTTCCCGTACTGCAAGAATCTACTAGATTTTACTATTTTCTTCGATATCATAAAGGAAAATTTGTTATCGTAGTTAAAAGTAACAGATTCTAGCAGTACGGGAACAGACCAAATAGTAACATTTATTATTATTAAATTAAACACATTTTAAAGTTTCCAGCTGTTTCCACATTTTTTTCGGAACTATGTTAAATTTTATCGTATTGTGAAGCATAATCTGATGCATTGTTTTGGTATAAAATCGAGAAATTGAGTGGAATTAAATTTATATGGAAAATTATCACAATAAAAGCTATTGTCTAAACATACCATAAGTGCAGTTATAATAGTTTGATGACTAAGCCACCATATATAATAATATTTTGTTGTGGTTATACAATTATTGAGACAAGTTGACACTTTGGATTTTCAAATTAAATCCATTTCAGCTGTTAACAATTCTAAGAAAAGTGAAATTAACTTGCAGTGGGAAAATATGGGATTGATAAGGGATTTTGGTTTTATTTGCGGGTGCAATTGCATTTAGGTTATAAACAATATCAGAAATGAACTATAAAAGTCATAACTGTGTTTTGAAAATTATTTATAAAATCAAATCAATATTAAATTCCAGGAATAATGCGATAACATTTTTAGAGTCAAGTTTGTTTTATCAAAAAATATTACTATCGGTAGAATTGACTACTGAAAAAATAAATATCACATGGATATAATTTAGGAAATATTATCGAAAACAGTATTAACAGATTTTATAAAAGCGCATTTAGACTTTCCCTTCTAAATCTAATTCGAGGAACTAAATATTAGCTGTATAGACTATTGGTCATTATGCAATAATAACCTGATGTATCAAAACAAAAACCTTTATTTTTGTCTCGACTCTCTGTCAAATTTGTCCTTATAATATTTCACATGGTTGGCAACCTTGCACATCGTATTCAAATAAAATTACCCACTTTGACAATCGATCGTGACATCAGCTGCGCTAAATGGACTACGTATTTATTGTGCCATACTATTGGTATTCAAATGATATTAAGTTGCCAATCAGCTGATATTTGTTTACGCTGGTGCAAAAAACAGTGTTGTATTTGAATATTTCGAGCAAATTGAGATAATGAGTCAATTTAATTTTGTATGGTAAATTCAGGTGAATGTAGATCGAATTAGCTAAAAATCGGGATAATATGCATTATCATGATATAAAATATAATCTAAACGCCCTATAAGTAGATGTGCCAACAACAGTTTACAACAAAACTGTTGTGGAGATTGATTACTTTAAAAGTATTAAAGCAATGAAGCTATTTTAAACAGTAGCTTAATTTAGAACTTATTTTTTATTGTTTTTGCAAAATAGTCAGGCTTAATCCCAGTTTGTTGTTTTTATAAAAAAAAACAACTATTTATTAGTGGGGAATGTATGGTATTGTCCGCCGAGGGGTAAAAAAAACTAAGGGAACTGATGAGGATCAGTGGCGAGTTCCGAAACTATAGTCTTCCCTGCCTTACCCCTCGGCAGACAATGCCATACATTCCCCACTAATAAATAGTTGTTTTTTTTATAAAAACAACAAACTGGGATTAAGCCTGACTATTTTGCAAAAACAAAATACAAATGGTATCCCAAATAACCCGCCAAACACTACTTATTTTTTATTAATATAATAATTTTTACTAATTTACATCCATTTTTTTCTTTTCATTACAGTTTTTTCCCGTGAAGATCACTAAAGAGGAGAATAAACAATAAGCAACGTGACTATGCCTAAACAAATCTGAAAATAACCAACCTCAATACCTCAAAGCAACGATCGCTCTTCCCTTGCGCATATATACCTCAGTATTTAGTTTTAAATAAAATTTTTGCAACATTAAAAAACACACACAAATATTTTAAGATAACAAAATGGTGCACACAAATTTACCATCATGGCGTAAGTATTTTCGAAACATATTTGTCAAAATAATTTTCAAGTGTTGAATTTTTAAACAAAAATATTTAAATATTCTAAACATGAACATTCAACATTTATTTTTCATCAGTAAAAAAGAGCGTCTTTGATAAATTTTTGTATGTATGCCAAACTAGTGACACGTTGAGATTATAATTTTACAAAATAGTTGGTTGGGAATATTTTCGAGGGAGATTTTTTTTTGTTACGCTATTTGAAATTTAAATATTTTATGCTAATGATAAATTTGGGAGTCGGGATATTTAAAAAATGTGTTAGCGATTGTTGATGAGCAGATATTTATAATAATATTTTTTATACAAATTACCAGGAAGATCTTGTTATCGATCTTCCCAATAACAAGATTTATTATAAATAATATAACGATTACAAATATTTGTTAAAGATAAGGTTATCGATAACGAGAGTTTTTATAAAAAATAAAGTCGATAACAAGTAGTGTATACAGAAAATGTTTTTATAACAATATTTGTTGTGAAAAATTTTGTGGATAAACATTTTTTTCTATATAGAAAATGTTTTCATAGAGAAAATATTGTTATCGACAACATTTTCTATAGAAAATATTATTATCGACAGTATTTTATATAGAAAATATTGTTTCTACAGTATTTTATAGAGAAAATATTAACATCATTTTTTATCATATTTTTATCGACAAGATTTGCCATAGAAAATATTGTTATCGGCGTTGTTTTCTATAGCAAATATTCTTCTCAACAGTAATTTCAACATGAAATATTGTTGTCGACAGTATTTTCAAAAGAAAATATTGTTATCGACACTATTCTCTATAGAAAATATTGTTATCGACAGTATTTGCTATAGAAAATATTGTTAACGACACTATTTTCTATAGAAAATGTTGTTATCGACAGTATTTTCTCTAAAAAATATGGCTATCGAAAATATTTACCCTAAAAAATTTTGATATTGACATTATTTGCTCAAACCAGTTATCGACAGTACTTTTTATAGAAAATATTGTTATCGACAGTATTTTCTATAGAAAATATTGTTATCGATGGCATTTTCTATAGAAAATATTGTTATTGACAGTTTTTTATATTAAAAATGTTGTTATCGACAGTATTTTCTAAAGAAAATACTGTTATCGACACTATTTTCAACAGAAACCTATTGTTATCTACAACAAATAGAATTTGCTATAGTATATATAGTTATCGATAGTATTTTTATAGAAAATAATATTATCGGTAGTATTTTCGATAGAAAACATTATTATCGATAGTATTTTCTATAGAAAATATTGTTATCGATAGTATTTTCTATAGAAAATATTGTTATCGATAGTATTTTCTATAGAAAATATTGTTATCGATAGCATTCTCTATAGAAAATATTGTTATCGATAGCATTTTCTATAGAAAATATTGTTATCGACAGTATTTTCAGTAGAGAATATTGTTATTGACATTAATTTCTAGGCAAAATATTGTAATCGACACTATTTTCTAGAAAAAAAACATTTTTATCGAAAAAAATTGAATAGATTTGCTATAGAGATTATTGTTATCGACTGGATGTATTGCAGGAAATCTTTTAAAAATGAGGAAACGCATATTGAAACACCTCAACAAACTACAATTCAAACCAAAACGTCACCATTAGCTTCCTACTAACCCAGTTACTTCAAATTTACGTCACATTAAATTCACCATAAAAATGCTTAGTTTCTAAGCTGTCATTCGGGTGTAAAATAAGCCATTATCTTCTCATAAATAACAAAAAGAAAGAAAAACACAAACTCACTACTAACAAATTGCCCAATGATTTATTTAACACAAATATTAGTTTATTAACATTTTTATTGGAAAAACAACACAAAACGTGTTGACATGACTCGTGTGCCTACCCTCACAAAGAATCCAGACCTTTCATAAATAAATAAAATGCGGTAATAACAACATTGTCATTTAAATATAAAAAAACAACTACAATTTTTTGTTTTTGTTTAAAATTAGTTATGGTCTAACGCAAAACACAAATAAACCCGTCCGACAATTTAAACAAAATGCATTTTTCCAAAAAGCATGAAATTGTTATTTTTATTGCAAATAGAATAATAAAAAAACTAAACAAAAAAGTGTAGAATTTTTTATTAGTAGAATTAACAAAAAGAAATAAATAAAAACAAAAACAAATTTGTTTTATATTGCGTGTGACAAAGCTTATTAAATATTGTAGTTGTAGCGAAAATTACTATATTATTTTCATTCGATTCAAATCTGCATGCTAATAATTATATATATTGAGAGGAAACTTTTTTAAAAGTACAATATCAAGATCAGAATACTCCCTATTAAACATGTGATTCTATTGTTTTGAAAAATAAAATTATATTTTGTCATTGTAAACCTCATTAAATATTGTCAACTTAAATAAAATGTGCGGTTTAATTGTAATAATAATAACAATATATTTATCAACATGATTCTTATGCTTAAATACCTTTGTTTAGAATATTCGATATAAAAAATCATTACATAGGTAAATTTTTTAGAGAATAATACTCAAAAATTATCGAAAATATTTCAGAGAGCAAATGAAAATGATGTCGAAATGCAAATAATGTCGCAATGCTATCGATAACAACATTCTAAGTGGGCATTAGTGTCGTGAATATCTGTTTCTATATTAAAAGCTGTCGATAACAATATTTTGTACAAGAAAGTTGGCGATAATAACATTTTTTATATTAAATATTGTCGATAACTATTTTTTCTATAAAAAATACTATCGGTAACAATATCTTCAACAGAAAATACTATCGATAACAATATGTTCTATTGAAAATACTGCGTATAATAATTTTTCGATAACTATATTTTCTTCATAAAATATTATCGATAAATGTATTTTCTATAGAAAATACTGTCGATAACAATATTTTCTTTGGAAAATATTGTTGGTAACAATATTTTCTATAAAGTATACATTCGATAACAACATTTTCTATAAAATATACATTCGATAACAATATTCTGTATAAAATATACATTCGATGGAAAATACTCTCGATATTTTTGTCGATAACAATATATTCTGTGGAAAATTCTGTCGATAGCTATATTTTCTTTATGAAATGTTTCCGATAATTTTATATAATCTGTGGAAATTGTTGCCGATAAAAAAATTTTCTATAGTAATTTCTTTCTACGATAATTATAGTTTCATTTATGAATGTTATCTATAATTATATTTTCTATGGGAAATTTTGTCGATAACAATATTTTCTATGGATAATATTGGCGAGAATTCTGTCGATAACAATATTTTCTGTATACTGTCGACAACAATATTTTCTATAGGAAATGTTGCAGCTAATAATACTGCCGATAAAAATACTTTGTATAGAAAATGTCGTCGATAACAATATCTTCTACATAAAGTACTATCGCTAACATTATGTTCTATGGAAAATACTGTGTATCACAGTATTTCGTATTAAACATACTGTCGATAACTATATTTTCTTCATAAAATATTATCAATAACTATATTTTCTTCATAAAATTTTGTCAATAACAATATTTTCTATAGAAAATGTTGTCCATTTCGAAATTTTCTATTGAAAATGTTGTCCATTTCGAAATTTTCTATAAAAAATATTGTTATCGACTGTAGTTTATGAAGAACATTTCTTATCGATAACAATTATTTTCTTTTATTTCTATTTATTTATTTAATGTTATCGATAATTACAGGAAATACTGTCGATAACAATGTTTCCCATGAAATACATAGTCAATAGTTTTCACTAGAAAACTTTGCCAATATCAATATTTTCTAAATAAAATATATGGTCTGTTCCCGTCCTGCAAGAATCTATTAGATTTTACAATTTTTTGCGATATCATAAAGGAAAATTCGTTATCGTAGTAAAAAGTAGTAGATTCTAGCAGTACGGGAACAGACCAATAGTCGATCACTATACGTATATAGCTTAATTTTTAGTAGCAAATGCTTTCGATAAATATGTTTTCTGTCGATAAAAATATATATTGTTACGTTCTTGGATTTTACTAATCCCGTGTAGACGTTGTTTTATTTCCCGATACTATTCGTACCAAATAAAACGCAGGTTCTTTCAGATTACGATTATTACAATGATTTTATTCACACAACTTTACTTTGCACTTTACTTTACACGACGGTTTCAATTCGCGATCTGATTCACCACTGACTCACTGCCTTTCCATTCCCTCTATTTATATGAGCCCTGCCTGTCGCTACAGAAGTTTCTAGACGATCTGGTAACACCTAGATCACGAACAATCTACCAATGCAACAAACACATTGAGTAACAATAACAACAAACTTACTGAGTGAACAATAACAACAACAAACTTGAGTAAACAAACTTACAATAACAACAACACATATACAGGCGAGGGAATAACAAAGAAAGAGGAATGACGTTTAACAAGAATTGTACGACAATAACAAAATAGAAAATGAAAGAGGAAATGGAAGGATGTAGAAAAATCTATACAGTGGTTGTTGTTGTGAAGTTATTCAAATAAACTGCGTAGTAGAAATTTACGTTACAATTCAAATTCTTAAATTAACGGAATTCATCTAAATTAACTTAAATCTAAAGTTATATTCGTAACAATATTTAAAAAATGCTGTCGATAACAATAGTATTTATAGAAAATCATACCGATAACGTTCTTTTGATATACAATTTCTTACTAAAATATCGATTTTCTGTAAAAATGTTTAACGATAATTCGATTTTCTATATGAAAAGCTTTCGATAATGTTTTCAGTAGAATTTAGTGCCGATAAAAATATTTTCTGTATTTTTTTTTTTTTTTTGATTTTTAATAAAAATGCTATCGACAACATTATTTCTTAAGAAATGTTTTTTTAGAATATTTATGTTATTTATTATAAATAACATCGATAAAAATAATTTCGATATTTTGTAGTTCATCTCATTTAATCTTCTCTTTCTCTCCCTCTCTCTCTATCTTTTATTTGCAGTAATAATTCCAAAGCGCTTCAACATAGCCGTTATGTTATTTATGGCATGTCTCATGAGTTATATGATGCGTGTCAATTTATCGATAAATATCATTGCTATGGTTAAAAACACAGATGCCAATTCCACAGAAGAGTTGCCAGATGTAAGTATAACAAATGTCAATAACTTTTTTTCTTTATGAATTAGTAAAGCACTTTAGAATTTTTGAAAGAAGAAAGATTTCAATAAATAAAAAACTCTCTCTGGTTCTGAAATATATTAAAAATTGAAAAATTTTACCAGTTTTTGTGCAGGGTGCAGCCACATCTGATCATATTATATCTATCATTTCTTCATAAATTTGATTTTCTTATCAAAATTTAAAAAGAAAAAACATTATTATTCCATATATTTTAATCGAACTACCAACATTCATATTTCGATTATAAATTAATTAGCGATAACTAGATTTCAATATTTATTTATTTATGGTAGCAGTTTGGTGTGTATGTTATTTTATAACTAGAGATAATAAATATTATTTATTAAGTGAAATAAAATTTATGGATTTGGGTTAGACTGCAACAGCTGTATTATTTTCTTACAAAAATTGTGAGTTTGGGTCAGAGCAACAAAATTCTGTAGAAATCCCAAAAAAAATCATGAGTAAATATTGACTCGAGCAAGATGAGAAACATGAAGAGTTAGTTTATTGACCGAAGAATTATAATTGCAGGGGCCACTTCAAAAAAAAAAAAAAAAAAAATACCCACATTTATCCCCTTTTTCCAAATTTACGCGAAAATATTCCGACTACTTGTAGATAAATTAAAATTTGTTTAACTAAATATCATAAATACCCTGTTATTTTGTTTGTAAACATAACCTAATATTTACTTAACAAATAATAATATTTATTTATAGTTTATGTTTTATTCTTTTATTTCCGGTTATTGTTTAGCTATTCACAAACAAATATTTAATAAATTTTTACTAGCAAATATTTATAAATGTTTTATTTCTTATCTTCCCCAGTATGGTCCCCGCTATGATTGGAGTCAAAGTGATCAGGCCATGTTGTTGGGTGCCTTCTTCTATGGTTATATGATAACATCCCTGCCAGCCGGTATGTTGGCGGAAAATTTCGGTGGTAAAATTGTGGCGGGTATAGCTTGTCTTTTGGCTGGTATATTAACGGCATTGACACCCCTCGCCGCAGCCTGGAATATGTGGGCTGTGTGGGCCATACGTTTTGGTATTGGTTTTCTAACGGTATGTGTGATCATATTTTAAAATTAACTTGAGATATTAATTTAATGTTTTATTTTCATTTTCAGGGTGTCGTATATCCATGTTGCCATAATCTAGTCTCCAAATGGGCCCCACCCGATGAGAAAGGTAAATTCGTGGCCTCTCTAATGGGTGGCACCTTTGGTACTGTGATAACCTGGCCGATAAGTGGTGTCATTATTGAAAATATGGGTTGGGATTGGGCCTTCTATATGGTGGGTATATTTGTCCTGATTGTGGTCATTGCTTGGTTTATCGTTGTCGATGACAGTCCTGCCCAGCATTCAACCATCAGTATTAAGGAGAGGGAATATATTGAAAAGAGTTTGGGCAACACGGTATCCAACAAGAAGGTAAGTTCTAAAACAAATAAAATCATAAAAATATCCAATGTTATCGATAACTATATTTTGTATAGACTACAAATCTTTAAAAATAGTTTCGATTACTTTGTTTTCTACAGAATATGTAGGCCACAATATTTGTTTATATATATAAGAATGTTTTCATAATAAATATTATCGATATAATCAATTTTTGCGCAAAAATTATCGATTACAAATTTTATATTGAAAATATTGTGGATAAAAATATATTCCCTACCGATAAAAATATGATCATTATTTAATAAATTCGATAACTATTGTCGATAACAAAGTTTTTTATAAAAATTTCTACCGATAACAAAAACAACTTTTTCGGTAGAAACATTGTCGATAACATTTGTTTTCGGTAGAAACATTGTCGGTAACATTTGTTTTCAATAGAAACAGTTGTCGATAACAACTTTTTCTATAGAAACAGTTGTCGATAACAACTTTTTCTATGGAAACAGTTGTCGATAACAACTTTTTCTATAGAAACAGTTGTCGATAACAACTTTTTCTATAGAAACAGTTGTCGATAACAACTTTTTCTATAGAAACAGTTGTCGATAACAACTTTTTCTATAGAAACAGTTGTCGATAACAACAATTTCTATAGAAACAGTTGTCGATAACAACAATTTCTATAGAAACAGTTGTCGATAACAACAATTTCTATAGAAACAGTTGTCGATAACAACAATTTCTATTGAAACAGTTGTCGATAACAATAATTTTTTTAGAAACCGTTGTCGATAACAATAATTTTTATAGAAAAGTCAACAGATAACAACATTCTTCGCCGAAACTTTTGTCGATCCATATTATCTATAGAAATAATGAACGATAAATAATTTTTTATCGTTTTTCTGTTGAAAATATGTTTGATAACTTAATTTTCTATTAAAAAACATTATAAATATAAACATTAATTTATTAATTAATTTATTTATTTTCGATCGTTTGAAACTATTAATTTATGTTATTATTTTACAGCGCTTCCCACCCTACAAAGCCCTGATTGTGTCGCTGCCCTTCTGGTCACTCTTGTTGTTGCATTACGGCAGCATGTGGGGTCTCTTCTTCTTGATTACGGCCACACCGAAATTCTTAAGTGAAGTATTGGGTTTCAATCTGTCATCAGCTGGTTTCTTGTCATCCCTTCCTCACTTGGCCCGTTTGCTTTGTGCCTTTGGTTTTGGTTCAATTGCCGATTTGATTAGACGTAAAAATTGGCTGTCCGTTACTAAAATGCGTAAAGTTTTCTGCTTACCTTGTAAGTCCATCGAAATTTTTTTTCATCTTAATTTTTTACTAATTCAAATTATGTTTATCTCCTTAGCTCACGTCATTCCTGGTATATTGTTGGTTATCTTGGCCTTCTTCGGCAAGGATCCCTATGTTTGCGTGGCCATTATGACAATTTCATTGGGCTTCAATGGTGCTGCTACTGCTTCCAATTTGCAGAACAGCCAAGATTTGGCGCCCAACTATGCTGGTACCTTGTACGGTATTATTAATTGTGTTGGTACCACACCTGGTATTTTCTCACCGTTGATTGTGGCAGCTTTCACAGAAGAAAATGTAAGTATAAGACGTATAATCAAATGATGAGGTTTATTACGATTGACGTTATTGTAAATTGTTAAAATATGACCTATGTAGCCCTACGTACCATATGACCCTAACTATGTAGCCCTACGTACCATATGACCCTAACTATATGTAGATATCATGATGCAATAGCAAGGTGATATAGAAAAAGAAAAACCTTTGTTTTTGTCTCGTCCATCTGTCAAACTCTTCCTTATAATATTTCACATGGTTGGCAACATTGCACATCGAATTCAAGTATAAATTACACACTTTGACAGTTAATGGAGTCATCAGCTGCGCTAAATGGACTATCTATTTGTTGTGCCATGGTAGATATATTTCATATCTTCATACACAGTACGATAAATATGAATGTAAACAGCTAATCAAAATAAATCACATTTCAAATTACGCTTTTTAATAAAACGTGTTATTTCTATACATAACCTTAGTGTGTAAAATAATTTATTACTATTAAGAATTATCCTTTTTAAACCTAACATAAAACTGATTAAATTTCTTTATGTTCCCAATTTTCAGAACACAATCGAACAATGGCATTATATCTTCTTAATCGGTGCCGCTGTTTACATCATTCCCGCCCTAATTTACTGGGTCTTTGGTTCGGGTAAAATCCAAAAATGGAATGAATTAGATACAACATCTTCGAAAGAAGAAATTGTCAATACAAAATTATAAAAAAAAAATATTGCCAAACACACACAAACAAGATAAAATATTTCTTAAAATACGACTTTAAACTTAAAATAAAATGACAAAATACCTGTGTTGTTATTCGTATTTTTTACGAGTGTATACTATTTTTTCTTCGATAAACATGCATTTGAGTCTTTATTTGTATTGTTTCATTTTTCTTAAGAGCTGTGTATTTCCTCTATTGTTTTTTATTATTATAAAATAAGTTAATTTAATTTTAAAAAAATTTTAGAAATGTTATTAGTTTTAAATGTTATATCTATATAAGTATGTAAATTTTGTAATTAATATAGTAAAAATACAAAACAGAAACAAATATAAATAAATAAATATAAAAAGTATTAATAAAAAATATTTTATAATAAAGCGCTGCATTTTTATGGGTTTCATTTGTCAATTCCTTTGCATATATGTCAAATAAATCCTCATAAAGTAGGTTAACCCAGTAAAAGTTCTAATGTATATGCCGTTTAATAGTTCATTTACATAATATTGGATGTCGTTAACCCAGTGGATTTAAATTTGTCAATTTCATTGCATATATGACAAATAAATCTTCAAAAAGTAGGTTGACCGCTAAAAAGAGTTCTAATGAACGAATAAACGGACGATTTTTTTTCTATGCATCATATGATTTATTTTAGTAGACTTGACTGAAAACAGCCGATCCTTAATATGCTATCTTTAAACGTACTATTAGTGGCCCTATAAATTTATAGTGCGTGTAGACTATGAAATTCACTTACGAAGGCAGTTCGGAAAGTTCTTTGCCTAGCACAAAAAGAAAAAGTTAAGTGTTTTGGAAACTTCCATCTCTGTTATGAACACATGTTAAATTTTGTTTCGATCATGCAACTCATTCATATAGAAAAAGGTTTGAAAAAAGACGCATCCGCAATTTTTTTTACAAAGAAAGCACGCATTTCTAATTTTTTATTGCGGATGCGTCTGTTACCATATGAAGGAGTCGCCAGATCGAAATTCGAATTCATATAGAAAAAGGTTTGAAAACAGACGCATCCGCAATTTTTTTACAAAGAAAGCACGCATTTCTAATTTTATATTGCGGATGCGTCTGTTTCCATATGAAGGAGTCGCCAGATCGAAACAAAATTTTACACGTGTTCATTACAGATATGGAAGTTTCCAAAACACTTAACGTTTTCTGTTTATATCGCGAAGAACTTTCCGAACTGCCCTCGTAATATCTAATGCATTCGTGAAGTAATGCTTTAATTGATAGATAGATGTGTTCTTTTCTGATATTTTCTATAAATATTTAATTTTAATTATTATGAAATATTGCAGAACCATTCCCACATATTCTCCGGAGTCTAAACAAAGAGTAGAAGATAGAATAGTAAGAGAAATCGACCAACGTACTCATAATGCAATAATAAGTTGATGTATCAAAACAAAAACATTTGTTTTTGTCTCGATTATCTGTCAAATTTTTCCTTATATTATTTCAAATGGTTGGCGACACTGCACATCGAATTCAAGTAGAAATTACCCACTTTGACAGTTAATCAGGACATCAGCTGCGCTCAATGGACTACCTATTCATTGTGCCATGAACGTACTGATTTGTGCAATTTTTATTATTGACAAGTCACCCTGTGACGGTATTGCCAGATTAAAATCTCATTATTATTAAACACAGGTTAAATTATTCATAAAATATCAGGTGTTGTAGGGTTAATAGTTATGTTGTAGAACCTACAAGAATCTCATATTAATCGAAATTGTTTGAGTAGTAGAATATAAAACGGCATTTACATTACAACTTTTTGTAGGGTTAACTCACATTATGAGAATTTTTTTGACAAATAGGTAATGGAATTGACAATTGAAACCCACTGGGTTAACTAAATCCGGTACAATGTATTACACTTATATTAAGGGAACCCCCCCATTCTCGATTTTATTTTTTCAAGATTTTCAATGGGCTGGTAAAACAAAACCAATGCTTGTTAAGGTTTGTATCTTTACACATATATACTTGAAGATTTAAAATAGAAGAAAAATAATTTACAAAAATTTTTTGTTATTGTTTTGTTGTTGTTTTTTGTAATTAAAGAAAAGTCCTTATTTTTGATGGCGGGCATGATAACTCCTCACTGGAACATCGGAATTCGAAAATTCCAACGGTGTTAGAAAGAGTACATGTCTGGCTCTCGTATGAACTAGGATTATTGACTTCGCTCTAAAATTAAAAAAATGGTGAACCTTTGAAAAAATATTTTTGGAAAATCGCCGATTTTTTACCATAACCCAAGTTAAAAAATAATGAAGATCTTCACCGGTTGGCTTTATCCTAGTTCATACGATAGCTGTACACTCACAGAGAAACGTGTAAAAATTTGAAGTGATTGGGTTATTAGTTTTTGAGTTATCGTGCCCGCCATTCGCAAAAAAATGTTTAGAGAAAAACGCGTTTAAAGTTTGAGAAGCCCTTCTGCCGCCACTTGATGCTGACACAATAAATCGGCTATATCTTCAAGAGTTCTTGAGATTTTCATTTGAAATTTTGTAGGGACATTCTTGAATTAGTGTAGAATCGAATTATATCAACAAAATTTTTGACCCCGAGAATGGGGGGGGGTCCCCTTAACCCTTTGAACCCCGAATTTTTTTCCGTAATCATAGAACAAATTTCTGTTCACAGATTTAATGCAACTAGCTTAGATAGGATATGGACAAAATTTGACATCGCTACATCCTTGCATTCGGGAGATACAGTACATTCTTTCTGAAAAATAAAAGCTCAATATCATAAAAACCAAATGCAAATCGACACAAAAATCATTTTAAATAATTTTCTATATTCTGTTTTACAAGAATCAAAAATAATTCTGATGGTAGTATTCGTACATTTCGAATACGAAGCGATTTAAATAATTGGGACTGTATACACACATGAGTACTGTACACATGTACATTGGGCAATAAAGTTTAACCTTTATGGCCCAAAAGTTCTGTTCCAGCACTTTTTTAATAGTAAAGCTAGTAAAAGGGAATTATTTCAAAATTGCTCTAAGACTAAAAAATAATTTGGAAAGTTCGGGAACGCAAATCTAGTAAATGTACCAAAATTAGATGGCAATACTTCAAAATCAGAGGTTGGCATTCCTGTTTACCCTTTTTATTCGGACAAATTTTTCGTGTAAAAAGTTTACAAAGAGATCGCCATTTTGTTTTGTGTTCTCTTAAATTTGGTTTAATGCTTTACAGGTTTTGTGGGTTCAGGAAAGGTTTTCGAGTAAAAAGTTCCAAAACTTGTAAAATTAGTAGATTATTTTAGGTTCTGGAATGGAACTACTATTTGATTTTTATTCTATTACCCAAAATTTTGTTCGATTTTCCCCTTATAAATTTGAAGATTTATTTTTTGCGAATATAAAAATGTAGGAACATTTTTAATATTCCTTTTCAAATATAGTTCTATTAATTATCTGTATTACAATTAAGTACCATTCGTAATTTGTATACTCCTTCGTTCCTTTAGGTGCGAAAAAAGTCTTCTTTCAAACCCTTTATAGGGGATGTAGCTCAGTGGTAGAGCGTTCGCTTTGCATGTGAAAGGCCCCGGGTTCAATCCCCGGCATCTCCAATGGTTTATATTTTCCAATTGATTTTAATAACAATAGTATAAACAATTGTTTATTCACTTTATTTTTTGTCAAACTAATTGATATATTTAACTCACACATATACATTCACATGTACGTGATATTTCATGTTAAAATATATTTAACATTATATTGTTTTTGCAAACTTCAGCAAATCGTTATCAGTGGTTCGCATGTTATCAGCAATCGTATACGACGTCATATCACGCAGCAGAGTGGCGCAGTGGAAGCGTGCTGGGCCCATAACCCAGAGGTCCGAGGATCGAAACCTTGCTCTGCTAAATACATGTGAAAGGTTTCAATTTTTTTGTGTATATATTTTTTTAATTATTTATAATATTATTATATTTATAATATTAATAATAAATACAAAGTTTTTGAAAGGAATTAAAAACGCGATTTTTTAAGAATAATTTCAATTTTTTGTTGTTTTATGAACTAGATTTATTTCAGAAACTGTGAAAATTTTGAAACTCGTTGTTGAATATTGCCAGCTCTACGTCCTATTTTTAGAGGACAATCATATATTATAACTGGCTGTCATCTATAAAATGTATGTCCTATATCTGTCACCTATTTCTATAATCTTCCATCATTGTCAACTATATTTTTTACCCTCGATCAATATTTATTTTTGTTAATAAAAACAAATTAAAAACTAATTTTTATGAAATTTCAGTGAAATATTTATAAAAATGGGTCCGAATCTTAGCAGGAAAATCATATAACTGCATCCATTTTCGGTGTTTTAAAAATGATTAGACACATTATCTAACTGAATTATCTGTTATTTTATATTTTGAGTTATAAAGGGATTGAAAATTTCGCTACAAAAATATTAATGATTAAATTTTGGTATTTTCAAGTTTTCTGGACACATTTTGAACCGAATTTTTTGTAATTTGATATTTTTGGTTCTATGTTTTTAGGTGTCCCCAATATAAAAATCCGCCCATTATTTTTTAATTTAAAGTGACTGTAATTTACTATTCCTTGTGGACTACGGGTTGGAAAACATAGTCGACATTGGTATACTTCTTTGGCCCGGTCGTACTTAACGACTTTTTAACTCATTTTATATATTTATAAGTAATAAATCTACGCATACTTGGTATGTTCCCGTACTGAAAGAATCTACTCGATTTTACTATTTTCTTCGATATCATAAAGGAAAATTCGTTATCGTAGTAAAAAGTAGTAAATTCTTGCAGTATGGGAACAGACCAAGTATTATTTTTATTAAAAATATATATTTTTCTTTTTGTCATCTATTTTCATATTCAAAATCAGGTGGACCTATGAAAAGATACATATTAAAATTATATATAGTCGGGCTTATACTATGCTTTGTTTTTGTCACGACCATATGTCACATTTTTCCTTAAAATATTTCACATGGTTGGCAACATTGCACATTGAATCCATGCAGAAATTACGCACTTTGACACTTAATCGAGCCATCAGCTGCGCTAAATGGACTACCTATTCATTGTGCCATGGACTATGCCTTATAAATCGATTTCTAATCGTGGTAAAAAATCATAGCTGTTTAGACTATTATTAATATGATATAAAATTGTCAGTCTACTGTTATTCATTTACTTATAGAACATACATATTTCCCTTGTTTAATCATTTCTATGGCAATTTTTTAATCAATAGTTTCATAATTCTAGTAAGTTTAAGTCCAATATGTATAAAAATATATGTTCTTTTAAATTATTTCATTATAAATTTAAACAGATTAAATTTTAACAGGAACCAGTTTGAGAGTTGTCACACTTTTTGTTCGGTATTTAATATTTGAAAGTCGTGCTCTGTAAATTAGTAAATTTTAAAGTACAAACACTTTTTGGCATTTATAACGCAAACACCGAAAAAAAGTTCCTTTAATATAATATTACTTCAGGTTCTTCTGACTAGTTGCTATAACAATTAGACAAAACTCGAATTATTTAGAAATCAGGTTAAAAAGTTATTTATGCTGGGACAGAATTAAAGTAAAAACTTTTGTATATATTTTTTAAATTCATATTGTTTTTATATATTTCTTATCATTCATACATATTATTAAAATTAAATTATAGTACACTGTTTTATTTGTATTTTTTTAATATTTTTTATCCACAGTAATATCAGTTGTTTAATTAATTTAAATTAATTTACTTTTAATTAAAACTTTTAGGGCTGTTATTGTTTGAATCGCCCTATAATGATATTCATACACGAACGTTAATAGGTTCCTATCTCTCTGATGTACCCTGTTATTGCTGCTATCATTTGTAAAGAACACCGCAAAAACAGGTGTTTCATTTATATATATATTTGTTTTTATTACAATAATATTATATTACACTGGTTTATTTTTGTTTCTAATATATTTTATCCACAGTAATATCAGTTATTTAATTATTTCAGAGTAATTTATTTTAAATAAAACATTTTCGGTTGGTTTTTGTATGAATCACCCTATAATGTCATTTAGACGTGAACGTTAATAGTTTGCTAGCTCTCTGATACCCTGCTATTGTTGCTATCGTTTTGTAAAGAGCACCGCAAAACAAGCTGTTTCATTTATTTATATTTTTTAATGCAATTAAATTATATTACACTGTTTTTGTAATCTTTTTGATTCACAGTTATTTCATTGTTTTATAAAGTTTTATTTAAATTAAACATTTCATGTCTGTTATTGTTGCATCGCCCTATTATGTCATCAAGACGTGAACGTTAATAATTTGCTAGCTGTCTGATGTACCCTGTTATTGTTGCTGTCGTTTGTAATGAGAGCCCCCAAAACAGGTGTTTCATAGTAAAATATATAACAAGTGAGGTTTCTTCCAAAAAGAAAAGTTAGATATTTAATAACAACCTAAATTTTTATTTAAATATTTTACTAAATTATTATCACAATTTTTTCCTTAAGATTTTTATTCAATACCCTTTAAAAAATTACTCTCTGGTAATGCCACAACAAAACGATAACAGCCTAATCAGCGCTCGTTATCGATAGCTTTGGAGCCTCCAAGTTGGCTGATTAGTGTTCAGTGTTGATGATAGGTTCTTGGCCATCATCATTTTCTCTGCTGCTGCAAACAAAGAAGCTGGCTGGCATTTTACTTTGTGTTTCAAGTTTCAAAACAAATTGACAAATTGTTTGGACAATTGAGCGGATCAACAACCCCCGGAGACCACAACGAAAGCGAAAATGTCTGAAATTGAAGTACCGCAAATTATAGCAGAGGCTCTGGTCCAACAGGTGAGTTTGAGCAGTGGATTAAATCCAAAAGGTCACAATGACTGGACAATTTGCAAACAAAAAAATATAATTTTATGGTCAAATTTAATGGCAGTGATTGAGTGAGTGCAACGCGTGAATTTTTTTGAGTAAAAAATACCCGACAGCGACGACAAATTCCAGACATGAAGTGTTGGGTGTTTTTGTCAAAGTTAAATGTTAATTAAGGAAAACGCTTGAATAATTAACAACAAAGTTTATTTTTTTGGTATAAAATTATACTAAATTGTAGTACACGCAATGATGGGAGAAGGACGGAAGCTTGATTTTAATTTACGTTTTGTTCTCCAACCAGTTAAGGTGTTGGCCAAGTAGAAAAAAAGGTATTTTCTTCATGGTGGTACTTCTGTGCTCCCCTTTGCGTCTTGGACCCGATCGAAAGGCAAAGTCCAAAATAATTTGTTTTTTACACAGAGGAGAATTGAAAAAAAAAAGAAAACACACAGCAACTGATAAAAAGGTTTTAAACGTGAGGGGGTACTGCTGCTGCCTGCTTGCTTGCCTGTGTATGTGTGTGTGTTTTTCGTGTTGGTTGGCTGGCTATCCGTATGTTAAAGCTCCACAATTAGTGATTTAAGTTGATAAGGGGTTTTACGTTAATACCGACCATAGATATTATTCTATGGCTATATAGGTATTTGTATTAAAGTATATTAAATGTTAACCTGACTATAGATGTTTTGCAATGTGTCAAAAACATTTAGTGGAATAATACATTGTTTTACTATGACCCTCAAATATGGAAAACTTGGAAAATACTGCAAAGTATTTTATTAATTTATTATCCTGGTTGTTAAAACAAATTGAAATACTGAAGTACCTGCTTTCATGTCCATATCCAGGAATTTTGAATATTGCTTAAAATATACAATTTGCATAGGAATCGAGATCCGGTGTTGATAGCTTAAACCGCTGACCGTTGGTTTATCGCAACTCACGCAAAACGACACAAACTTTCATATTAATACCTCTCCTGAAGTTGCGGAAATGTAGAACAGAAGCTAAGCACCTCATTTTTCAAACATTAGACCGCCCGATATTACACATCCCCCTGAGATTAAAGAAATGGGTTTAGTGACCTTGTTTAATTCCTTCACATATGAGAATGGAAGATATTTCAGAAATTAGGACACTAATTGAGGCTATAATGGAGTCAACATTATATAATACAATTCCTACCACTAGTTACTCTAAAATTCTCGAGGTCACATTTGACAACATGTTCAAATCGGCCGCGCAAACCACAGATATCTGCCTGATAGAGTCCTCGGAGCTCCCCCCGCCCATAGCAGTTGAAGAACGTCAGCTGCCCAGGCAAACCAGAGTGGTTTTGGCCCAATTACGTTCAGGATGGTGCAGTCGTCTCAATTCGTATTGGCCACGGATTGATAACCAGGTGCAGGATGCCTGCCCAGCATGTGGTACGGGCCCTCATGCCACACTGCACATATTCAATTGCCCAGCCAAATCTACTCATCTTACTCCAGAAGATTTGTGGTTGCAGGCAGTGGAAGTAGCTGCAATTCTTAATTTGGAGACAGAACCAGATGGAGTTTAAAAATGAAAAAAGGCACCATTTTCACGAGAAGATAAATATCCTTCCCTTTCGTTGTAATACATGTTGGGTGCTTCAGGAAGGATCTGCATGATCTGATTTAGAGAGCATCTAAATCAAGTTGCCTATCGAGCAGGTCTAAATAGCATTCATACTGAGGCACTTGCCGCAGCGCTGAATGAATAAAGTGTGAATGACGTCCTCGGAAGAAACATTTTCACAATTTGAAATAGAGCTTCTGGATTACCAGGTCTAGAAAGTTAATTTGTTTATGCGCGTCGCCACTTAATGGATGGGCATCCACGCCTCGAATCATTTTCATGATCAGAGAGAGATAGAGAGAGAGAGAGAGAGTATAGGGATCCATTGAAGAAGCAATTGAAGAAGCATTGAGAAGCAATTGACGAATAAAATACTTGGTGCTAGCAGTAGAAGAGAAAATTAAGGTGGTTTGGAGACCAAATAAATCGGCACCATAGTTTATCGCGCAAAGGTACGTAGAGAAGCGTACAAAGAAGGGTCACTGTACTCCACCAATCACTGGCATTACGATGCAGTTGTCCTTCCCATTTTTACCTATGGATGTCTTGTCCGGTGGGAGACAATGAGGAAGAGAACGCTGTTGTCCAAAATATGTAGTGTGGAAAGTTCGGCACTAATCCTTATATCAGGAATATCTAGAAGCACTTCTCTGGCTTCTCTGAACACAATAATAAAACCTCAGCCACACCACTACAATGCGAACTTCACACTATGGGCACGCAAATGTCCTATTATTTGATAGGGTACTATGAAATCTGTCACAAGAGTAATTAAAATGAGTATATTTCCCCATGCCTTAATTTTGAGGAATTTAAAATAATACCAAGCAGACACTCCTGGGGAAATGAGCTTCCTTCTACAGACATTTCAAAGATGGAAGGAGGGACAGGTGCAGGAGTTTTCTGTAAGGAATAGTTCATGATTCTTCCGAATTTTTTTTTAAATATGAAACTTTAAATATGAAAAAAATATGTCGTTTGTTACTGTTCTTTCTTCAACCCCCACTCACTAATCTCTTATTTTTACATGTTATATTTTTTCTTATAATTATAGTCTTAACTAATTTATTTATTATTTATTACAGGGTGTAGAATATGTGTTCGGCATTATTGGCATCCCCGTTGTGGAATTGTCCATGGCCTTCCAGGCAGCTGGTTTGAAGTACATTGGTATGCGCAATGAACAGGTTAGTATAAAAATAACACATTTCTTTAATAATTTATTTAAATTGATATTCCCTCATTCAATTTATTTTTTTAGGCTGCCTGTTATGCTGCTCAAGCCATTGGCTATTTGACTGGTAAACCCGGTGTTTGCTTGGTTGTTTCCGGACCTGGTTTATTACATGTTACCGGTAAGTTTAGACACATGTTTGCATATTTTCAAAAAAATATTTCCATTCCTTCATTAATTCATATGAAAAATCTCTTTCCTGTTACTAATCTAAGTAAAGTTCACTTGTTGCTACTTGTTGTTTGTGTTTTTTAACTTTTAAAAACAATATTTTCTTGTTAACTGATATCAGTTATTGTGTTAAGTGGTTTTTAGGTGAAATGATAAGATATAATAATATATGTACCAACCCACCACCACCATGGTCCGATTGAGTGTTGCATTTAGTTTACTGTCCATAGTAGAAAGGTTAAAATATTAACTTATTTGAATCGGGCCAATGATTATGTTGTAAATTAAGTTTATTGGCACTAAAGAAATGATAATGCGATATAAATAGAGTTAGTTTATTTTATTGCTACTGTTGGATTTGAAAACGTTATAATTTGAGTTCCTTTTTTATATTGGATTAGATCTGGATGAGTTCAATGAGTGTGGCTTGATTATCTATTTAATGACAAATAACATTTGGAAATTCAAAAATTAAAGTTCAATTAAAGATTAGCCGTTGGACACGCCTTAGAAGATATAAAAAGAAAATGTGTCATGGTTCTTCCGAACTTCCTAAAGTGGTTTTAAACACATACGACTTTCTAAAGGCCCTTCATAGATTTAGACCATATTGGGGTATTTAATTGCCACATGATCTTTAAGAGGTTTTTATAGATAGAATATTTTTTTAAATATAAGACCCTTTAAATATTGAAGACCTTCTAAAGTTTTAAAACATTCCAGAAGTCTTTTAAAAACTTAAGACTTTCTTCTTTTTGAAATGTTTCATTCACAGATGACCTTCAAGAGGTTTTTATGGACCCTTTAAATATTGAATATATAATAATAGATCTTTTAAATGCTGAAAACATATCAGATGTCTAATATGAAAAAATCTAAAATTAAACGGACACCTTTTAGAGGGCTTCTGTGAGTTTTCCATACACTGGCGACCTTCTAGACGTCTTTGAAATATGACCGTCAATGTACCGGCGAAATCGGCAGATCTAAGCGATAGTCTTTATTTCGAGCTTTTTGTATACTGGCCTCTTCGGACAACTGAAGACATATTAGAAGTATTATCTTCTAGATATCTCCTATTGACAGAATGCTCTCTATAGGTATTCTATAGATATAAAGCCTTATAACTTGTAGAGGTTTTATAGACAAAAGACTTTATAGATCACTTGTGGACCTGAAGACTATAAGAATATCTTTTGGTATTATACGAGAGAACCTTCAGGTATTCTTTTAGCATAGGCTTATATCATCTATGAGAAGTTTTTGAGTCTTCTAGAGGAAGGCCTTCTGCTCTTCTATGAGAAGTCTTTGTAGTCTTTTAGGAAAAGGCCACCAATCCTTGATCTTCTATAAGAATATTTTATAGATATAAGACCTTATTACTTTCTAAGGGTCTTATAGACAAAATACCTTCTGGATCACTTACGGACTGAAATCCCTCTACGGAAATTATGGGCAGATGATATCTTATATAATTCCTTCTAAAGGACTTATAGACAAAAAATATATTCTGTAGGTTCTATAGATCAAAGAAATTCGAGAGGTCTTCTGGTCATCTAGGCGGACACCTTCTGATCTTCTATAAGAATATCTTCTTGTCTTCTAGGAGGAAACCTTCCATTCTTCTTTGATAAAGCCTTCTGTTCTAGTATTTTATCAGAAGAACTTTTGGTCTTCTATAAGTAGACAATCTGGTCTTTTATGAGAAAACAATCTGGTCTTCTATGAGAAGACAATCGGGTCTTCTATGACAAGAACTTCTGGTCTTTTATCAGAAGAACTTCTGGTCTTCTATGAGTAGACAATCTGGTCTTCTATGAGAAGAACTTCTGATCTATGAGATGACCTTCTGGTCTTCTGTGAGTTGAACTGCTGCTGTTCTATGGGAATACCTTATTCTATGAGTAGACATTCTGGTCTTCTATGAGAAAACCTTCAGGTCTACTATAAGAATCCCTTCCGGCATTCTATGAGGTAGTCAATAAGAAGATCTATTGGCCTTCTCAGATAAAACGTTTGGCCTTTGGTGAGTATAACTTTTTGTCTTCTATGTGAGGACCAAAGGGTCATCAATAAGAATGTCTATCCCTTTTAAATGACTTATGGACAAAAGATATTCATTTTTAAACCTCTTTGAGGAATTTTTGGCAGACGACATTCTTAAGATCGACAAAAGACTTTCTTGTGGGCTTATAAACAATCTTCTAGAGAATACCTTCTAATATTATGGAGATTTTTTACAGGCTTTCCAGATGTCGCATATATAGAAATTCCTCTGCATGTGGTCAGAAAACCTTGCTACGAAGGCCCCTATCGGGGCTTTTACTCACTTCTAAAGAGGCATCTATAGTTAGAAAACCCTCTTGTGTGAGAGGTCATGTCTCTTTTCATGACTTCCCAGAAGTATTCGAAACACAAACGGTCTATTTTTTAATATTTAGCATTTTTATTGACTTCTAAAGGTCTCTCGATTCAGAGGAGATCTCCCCTGTATTGAGTACGTATTTTAATGACTTCTAAAGGTCTTCTAGGAAACTTATAAAAATGATATTGCAGGTTCTCAGCTATTCAGTTTCATCAAACTTTAATTTCCAATAAATTTCTTTAATTAATATTCTTTCTTCTCTCCCTCGCCCTTTCTTTGCCAGGTGGCATGGCCAATGCTCAAGTAAATTGCTGGCCCTTGATTGTTATTGGTGGCTCTACTAGCCAAGATCACGAAGGCATTGGCGGCTTCCAAGAATGCAATCAAGTGGAATTATCACGTCCCTATTGCAAATATGCTGCTCGCCCACCAACTGCAGCTCTCATCCCATTGCATGTGGAAAAAGCTGTTCGTTATACCACCTACGGACGTCCTGGTGTAGCCTATTTAGATTTCCCTGGCAATTTGCTGCAATCACGCTGTGAAGAATCGAAAATCTATAAGACACTGGCCCATCCAGCAGCACCCCTCGTCTATCCATCACATGAAGATGTTATTCGTGCTGTAAATTTGCTGCGTAACGCCAAGCGTCCCTTGGTAATTGTGGGCAAGGGTGCCGCCTATTCGCACTCGGAACACATTTTGAGACATTTCATTGAGAACACCAATTTGCCATTTTTGCCCACACCCATGGGTAAGGGTGTTGTACCCGATACTGCCTCACAATGTGTTTCATCGGCCCGTACCTTGGCCCTACAAAAAGCTGATGTTGTTTTGTTGTTGGGTGCCCGTTTGAATTGGATTTTGCATTTCGGTCGTCCACCACGTTACGATAAGGATGTTAAGTTTATTCAGGTAAGTTTAAAAAGAAAAAAATTATTTTGACTCAATACAAAATAAAATATTTTTTTATTTTCTAGGTCGACATTTGCCCTGAAGAATTACACAATTCCATTACCGCTTCCGTTGCCATTCAATCGGACATTAAACCATTTGCCGAACAAATGTTCGAACAAATGAACGCCATCAATTATCGTTTCTCCAACGACAACGAATGGTGGCAGGTGTTGTCATCGAAATGCCGTCAAAATCGTGAAACTGTCCAACAAATGGCCATGAACACCTCGACTCCCTTGAACTACTATGCAGTATTCCATCATTTGTATGAGTTGATACCACGTGATGCGGTGATTGTTAGCGAAGGTGCCAATACCATGGATATTGGTCGTTCAATGTTGCTGAACACCTTGCCCCGTCATCGTTTGGATGCCGGTACTTTTGGTACAATGGGTGTTGGTCCTGGTTTTGCTATTGCTGCCGCTCTATTCTGCCGTGATCGTTTCCCTGGCAAGCGGGTGGTTTGTGTTGAGGGTGATAGTGCTTTCGGTTTTTCGGGTATGGAAATTGAAACAATGGTCCGTTACAATTTGCCCGTGACCATTGTTATTGTCAACAATAATGGTATTTATGGCGGTTTCGATCAGGAGACATTTGATGCCATTCGCAGTTCCGGTGATTTGTCACAAGTGTAAGTATTGGAGGGGAAATTTATAAGAAATATATATTTTTGAGGCGTCAATTTTAGGTTCTCTACGAGGAAAAGAAGGCTGTAAGGTTCTATCAGAAGACCTTTTGAAGGCCAAAGTGTCTTCTATTAAAAATAGTATTGAAAAACGCCTTTTGTCTGCTATCGGTCTTCTTTTATGGCCATCTACCGGGAGACTTTCTGATACCCTATATGATTATATTCTTCTCTTCTAAGATAAAACCTTCCATTCTTCTCTGATGGAGCCTTCTAGACTTCTATAAGAAGAACTTCTGGTCTTCTATGGTAAGACCTTCTGATCATCTACAGGAAGACCTTTGATCACCTATAAAAATACCCCTTTCTCTTCTAGGAGAAACCCTTCAATTGTTCTTTGAGAAAGCCTTCTGGTCTTCTATGAGAAGGCCTTCTGATCATCTACAAGAAGACTTTGATCGCCTATAAAAATACCATTCTTCTCTTCTAGGAGAAAACCTTCAATTCTTCTTTGAGGAAGCCTTCTGGTCTTTCATGAGAACACCTTCTGGTCAGGAAGAAATTCTGATCTCTTATAAAAATACCTACCTCCCAAACTGCTGGTCTTCTATGGTAATACATCTGGTCTTCTAAGATATTCTAGTATTCTATGATAAGACTTTCTGGCCTTCTATGAGGTAGTCAATAAGAAAACCTTTGGGGCTTCTCAGAGAAAATACCTAATGGTTCATCTATAAGAATCCCTGGTTGTCTTCTATATATTTGTCTCCTATTATAAGATGGAAAATAAATTGGTCTCCTTTAAGAAGAGCAAATTGGTGGCATATAGGAAGACCAATTAGTCTCCTATAAGAATATTAAGAAGGCCTATTTGTCTCTTCCTCAAGAAGTCCAATTAGTTTCCAATAAGAAAACACATGTCTCCTGCGAGATGGCCAATTGGTGTCCAATAAGAAAACAAACATGTCACCTGTAACAAGACCGTATTGGTGTCCTATAGGAATATTAATTGGTCTCAAAACAGAAGAAAATTGTGTCTCCTATAAGAACATGAATTGGTCTCCAATTAGGAAGCAAACTCGTCCTCCGTTAGATGACCAATTATATTAAATAAGAAACCATACATGTCTCATGTAAATGGACTAATTGGTCTCCAATAAGAAAACAAGCATGTCTCCAATAAGAAGATCAATTGGTCTCATAAAGGCCAATTTGTCTTCTATAATAATACTATGTAGGTTTCCTATAAGAATATAAATTGGCCTCCAACAAGGAAATAAACTCGACCTCAGTAAGAAGTCTAATTAGTTTGCAACAAGAAGAAGACCAATTTGTCTCCAATAAGAAAACATACATGGTCTAAAAAAAGGAGACACATTTCCCCCGTTAGTAACTCGTCCTCCGCAAGGAGTCCAATTATTATCCAATAAGAAACCATACATGTCACCTGTAAGAAGACTAATTGGTCTCCAATAAGAAAAGAAAAATGTGTCCTATAAGAAGATCAATTGGTCTCATAAAGGCCAATTTGTCTCCTATAAGAATACTGTGTAGGTTTCCTATAAGAATTTAAATTGGCCTCGAACAAGGAAACAAACTCGACCTCAGTAAGAAGTCCAATTAGTCTGCAATATGAAAACATATGTCTCCTGTAAGAAGACCAATTGGTCTCCAATAAGAAAAAATACATGTCTCGTGTAAGAAGACCAATTGGTGTCCCACAGGAAGGTCAGTTGGTCTTATAAAAGAAGACCAATTTGTTTCCTATTAGAAGGCCGTATTGGTGTCCTATAACAATATTAATTGGTCTCCATCAAGGAAAACAACTCGTCCTCCGTAAAAAGTCCAGTTAGTCTCTAATAAGAAATAATATATGTAAGAAGACAAATTGGTCTCTAATAAGAAAACAATCAAGTCTCCAATAAGAAAACATATATGTCTCATGTAAGAAGATAAATTGGTCTGTGAGAAGACCAATAAGAATTTCAATTCCTATAAGAAAGCCAATTGGTCTTCTATAAGAATTCTAATTGGTCTCCTATAATAAGTTCAATTGGCCTCAAGTAAGAAGTCCAATTGGTCTCTAAAAAAAGTCAATTGGTTCCATTAAGAATATCCTTTAAGAAAACCAATAAGTGTCATGAAGAAAATCCAATTGGTTTTCTTTCCTCCTTTTGAAAATTCATTTATTTATTATTTTTTCTTTCCATTTGCAGGACTCCACCCTCTGCCTTGGGCGTTCAAGTACGCTACGAAGAAATGATGAAAATGTTCGGCATGAAGGGTTACTTCTGTCAAACCATCCCTGAATTGCAGACCGCCGTTAAGGAAGCACAAAAATTATCGGATAAACCAACCATCATTAATGTGGCCATTAGCCCTCAATCGGACAGAAAACCACAATCCTTTAATTGGCTCACTGAATCCAAATTATAAATTACTTAGAGATTTATAGATATGTATGTAAGAGAGCAGATGTTGCGTCAAGAGTTGTGTATGTATTTTAGTAAATTTATATAGAAGAGAAGAAGAATAAGGAGTTAAAGATTTTCTTTTTCTGCATTTTTGTATTGCATTGCACAAAACAACAACAAATAATATAATGTAAACTTGAGGTTTCTTTTCGTTTTTTCTTTAATTGTTTTTTTTTTTACAAAGTATTGATTCTATTTGTGAAGAGAAAAGACGTGTTTAATTGTGTGATTGATTTATGTTTTTTATTAGTTTTTACACATATATATTTTAATTGTAATTTTTTTTGTTTTTCAAGGAAATTGTGCATAGTGAAAAAATAAACATTCCCAATTTTTTTATTTTTAAAATATAGTTCAATTAAACAATTGTTTTTTAAATAACCTAACCCCAGCCCACAAAAAAATTGTAAATTGTTTATAGAGATTTTTTACAAAAAAAAACTACAATAAACGAATTTATTAAAACAAAAAAAGGTTATGACAAAAAATATAAAAAAACTAAGCCAGGGAGTTTCAAAACAAAGTTTTAAAAAATATAAATTGGTTTTAAAAAAAATCTCCATTAATTTTCTAATCACAGGCCTTTTTCAAATCTTCATCCAGGCCCAAATGTTGCAGGAAACATTGGAAGTTGATCAAACGCCCTTTGTGTAAAAATGGTATTTTGGGACATAGCTCAAACGCAATATTAACAGGCGTTATATCCGGCACCTTGCCACAATTCATATCCAAGAAATTCAAAAAATCACATACTTCAATTTCACCACAATCATTTTGATTTAAAACCTTTATCATATCATCGATTAATTCCTGCGGGAATGGTAAACGACAACCCTTCAAAGCTGAACGTATCTTCGCCTCCGATAGATAAGGTTTATGTAATGGATTTAAATGAAAGAGATATTCTTTCATTTCATCGATGGCATTCCAAAGATTGCGTTTCAATTCCAAATGGACTGCTGCACGTACCGTCTCACGATTACAGGTAATGGGAGGTGCCTGCTCGGCGGAGAAGTAGCGACAAAGGGTAATTATTTCATGATTGGTTATGTTATCTCCGAGTGCGGAAATTAGAGCCTGCTTCAGGGTCTCATAGCCAATAGTAGAAATTTCCTTGGCATCGGCTTGATTATCCGGCAGACATTTGCAAACGAAATCTTTGTAATTGTTGCGCAAAACTTCACGTACTTTGTCCATGATACGTTGGATGTCGGCAAGGGGGAACTGTTGCAGGTAAACATAAGGAGAAAGAAGAAAAAAGTAATCAAATTACAATTTTATTGGCCTTATATAAGAAGTCCTATAGATTTTCTATCAGAGGATCCAAATTGCCTTCAATAAGTGTCCTCTATGAGAAAATGAATTGCTCCCCAAAAAAGTGAAATGAGTCTCCTTTATGAAGTCCAATTGGTCTAATATGAGAAGTTGAATTGCTCTCCTATAAGAAATTGAATAAATTTCCTATAAGAAGTCAAATTCGTGTTCTATAAGAAGTTCCTATAAGAAGTCCAATTAGTCAGAGGGCCCAAATCGCCTTCAATAAAAAATCCAATTGGACTTCTATGAGAAAATCAATTGATCTCCAAAAAAGTCCAATGGTCCAATGGTATCATATAGAAGTCCAAGTAGTAGCCAATAAGAAGTTTAATTGGTCTCTTATACGAAGTTAAATTGGTCTCCTATAAGAAGTTCAATTGGTCTCCTTTACGAAGTCAAATTGATTTCCTACAAGAAGTCCAATTGGTCATATAGGATGTGGAATTGGTCTCCTATATGAAGTCCAATTGGTCTCCTATAAGAAGACTGATTGGTCTCTATAAGAATTCCGATTGGTCTCCTTTGAGAAGTTCAATTGGTCTACTATAAGTAGTTGAATTGTTCTCCTATAAGAAGTTTTGGTCTCCTATAAGAAGTTTTGGTCTCCTATATTGGTCTTCTATCAGAATTTCAACTTGTCTCCTATAATAATTAATTCTGGTGTTCCCCTTATATGAATTCCAATTGGTCTTCTATAAGAAGTTCAATTGGACTCTAGTAAGAAGTCCAATTGATCTCTATAAGAAGTTCAGTTGGTCTTGGGTAAGAATTCCAGTTTGTCTCCTATAAGAAGATTGGTCTCTAGTAAGAACTCTAAATATTTTCATATAAGAAGTCCAATTAGAAGAAGATCAATTTATTTCCTATAATAAAAAGTTTTATTGCTATTTTATAAGAATTCCTATTAGAAATATATAACTAGACCTATTAATCTTCCTTGAGATGTACTATTGGTCTATTATAACAAAGCTGTTGCTGTCTATAAGAGGATCGATTAATCTTCTAAAGAAAGATCTCTTGTCCTTCAATAAGTAGAAGAAGTCATTCTTTCCATTCCGTCAAAAAGTCTCCAAAAACCGCACTTTACTCACCTCATCCGGATGATGTTCCATATAAATAAGGGTATACTCATCCGCTGAAACCACATGAAAGATATGATCCTTCAAACTAACCGTAGCGCCAATATAAAAATTGTATGGTCTATAATATTGAGGCCTACGTGATGTAAATTTCGCTTGCCCTGGCAGTGGAATGCGTGTACGTTTCATAAATTCACCACCAAGGAAGCCAGAATTCCTAGAAGCCACCTCAAATATCTGAATTGTATCATCAGATAAATAGTAGGAAATAATAAACATTCGTTCACAATTTTCTTTGATGGTTGAGAGAAGTTTTGCACCGAAGCGCAGAACATAACGATCAAGTTGTATGAATTTCTTAAAATCTGCCTGCGGAGGTTTAGGTTCGACGGATATGCAATTGCCCTCGGAATCTTCATAGGAACCCCAACCGTTATAGGGTGGGAGAATGCGTTCACGGCGTCTGGCTGGTAAGGAATCGTCGGCTCGAGAGGGTACCGGCGTGGGTGTGAAATCTTCAATGCCATACTGTAAAGAAAATTATTAGTTTATGGGTGTAATTTTTGTATAGCTAGTTATCTTACCTTTTTCCTATAGTAGCCTTTAGTGAACTCATCACAATCGGTCAGCACCACTGCCCTTCCATAGACATTTAAAACCGTGCCAATTTGTAAATCTTTATCGGTGTAGTACAGTATCTCTTTACGTCCCACATCCAGCGGATCCATAACATAGCGCACATTACGCATATTTGTACCCAGCACGTTTAGAAGACTTTGAGGTGTTTGCTCGCCGGGTAAGGGGAGGCCGGAGAATTCCTAAGGTAGTTAGAAGAGGAAGGAAACATAAAAATTAAAAACTTGTTTATAGATTGGAGTGTTCGAATCCGATGATCCGGTTATACATAGCATCAGTTTACTTCACATAAATATAAACGGACCCCCTCCTTTTTTGAAAGGATACAAATAATATCTCAAAAGATTCCGAAAAAAAATTATGAAAAGAAAAAAAGGGTTTCGTATTAGAATGACATTTAATTTCCTAAAATGACCAATTGTTCTCCTATAAGAACACCAATTTGTTTCCCTAAAGATGACCAATTGGCCTCCTAATAAGAAGTTAAATTGGATTTAAATAAAAAACAAATTGGTCTCATCATATATCCAAAAAGGAGAGAAATTGGACTCCCAAAATCTGACTATAAGAATACCAATTGGTCTCCCACAAGAAGATCAATTGGTCTCCTATAAGAAAACAAATTGGACTCCTAAAAAGAAAATAATTGTTCATATCAGAACACTAATTGATCTCCTATAAGAACCCAATCGGTATCCCATAGGAATATAAATAGGTCTCATACAACAAGTCCAATTGGACTTCCTGAAGAAGACTAATTGGTATCCCACAAGAAGACTAATTGGACTCCCAGACCATAAAAATAAGAAACCCACTTGTACTCCTAAAAAGAAAATTAATTGGTTTCATATCAGAACACTAGTTGGTCTGCTATAAGAACCAAATTGGCCTCCTATAAGAAACCAACTGTACTCCTAAAAAGATTGGTTTCGTATTAGAACACTAATTGATCTCCTATAAGAAAACCAATTGGACTCCTAAAAAGAAAATTAATTGGTTTCATATCATTGGTCTCCTAATAAGAACCCAATTGGCCTCCTATAAGAAAACCTATTGGACTCCTAGAAAGAAAATTTATTGGTTTTATATCAGAACACTAATTGGACTCCTATAAGGAGACCAATTGGACTTCAAACTAGTAGACCAGTGGGCTCCTAAAAGAAGGTATATTGGTGTCTCACAAGAAAACCAATAAGGCTTACACGAGGGAATCCCTAGACCAAAGACATCCGAGTGAATGAATGCATATATATTCTGGTAGTCGAACATGCGTTAACCCAAACTTCTTAATAATAAACTACACTATATCTTACAGCCTTAAAGTATGCAGCATGTGAGGACAAAATATGTTTCTTCTGAAAATATTCCTCAGGTCGTTACTAGTCATCTATAAACAGAGAACCTTCTATAGGCCTTCTATAAACAGAAGCCTTCTATAGACGTTCTTCTTCCTCTTATCCCTTCATTAGGACTTCTATAAATTGTAGGTCTTCCAAAGACCTTTATCTTAACCATTGAACAGAACTTCAGAAAATCTACCTCAGGTCTTCTTATATACATTAGACCTTAGGTCCTATTAACATAAGACCTTCTGCAGGACTTCAATAAATTGTAGATCTTCTAAAGACCCATTACAGAGCCTTTGAAGACTCTTCTACTTCAGATCTCCAAAAGATATCTCTCATGTCTTCTATAAATAGAATACCTTTTTAAGGTCTTCTATAAACATAAGACCTTCTACAGGACTTCAGAATATCTTTACTAGGTACTCTATAAACGGAAAATCTGTAAGCAGAAGGTCTTCTATAAACAGAGAATCTTCTTGAGGTCTTCTATAAACAAAAGAAGAAACAAAGAAGTTCTTCTACGGTCTTCCAGATACAGAAGACTTCAAGAAGTTTCCCTTTTTATAAGGCTTCTAGAATTAAAGAGCTATAGAGTCTTCCAAATATATTTTCGATATGTGGACCTCCAATAGATATTTTACATGTAAAAATCTTCAGAAGATCTTTCTCAGTACAGAAGTCCTGACCTTCTTTAGACCTCCAAAGAAGTCAATCTTCTGTCTGGCTACCTTTTTATAGACAATAAACCTTCTTCAGAGTCTTTAAAATACCTTCTTTAAACCCTCTATTGAAAGAAATCCTTCTTCGGGTGTTCGATAGATGAACCATCAGGCTTTCATAATGTCTTCCTCAGGCCTATGCGATAATATACCTCTGCAGAAGTTCTTAAAAATGATCTGCTCCTACTAATTTCTACAGCTCTTCTACAGGCAGAAACACATATTCAGACCCTCTGAAGAAAAAGGTCTTCTATACAAATAATATTATTCTAATGATCTTCTAATTATTCCAGATTTTTTTGAGTATATGTTCTATAACATAAAATTTTAAAATTTATCTTTAAACTTACTCTCGGCAATTTACATCTCTTCAAAAATGTCGTCGGACCTTCTCTACCCGAATTCCTAGGGAAATGTTCCTTAATATCAATTGTATCATCGGATAAATAATAACAAATTTCCAATTTGCGGACATCACCAAATTCAGAACGGTCATCCCAATAACCTTGGAATTTCAAAACCATGCGATCATATTCCAAGAATTGGGCAAATGAATGTTTCTTCGGAACGGGATTGGTGACCTTTATGGCAGATCTCTTACGTATCTCCGTGGTGGGATCACTGAAAAACAACAGAAAATAAATTACTTCAAACAAGTAAGTATGTGTGACCTACTTACACCGGTTCATCAACGGGATCGGGCACTGGAATACCCGATTTATTCAAAAAATGCCTGGTAAATTTATCACAACTTGTTATATGATATACCCTATCGAATATCTGCACTGTAGTATTAACATTCAAATCTAATATCGATATAAATTCCGTTTGACAGGGTGGTGGCTTGGGTATGCGCTGACGATGTACCATACAACCTTGTGGTATACCGGAATTGAGCACCTTCGGTTCAACAATTTGCATTGTACCATCTTCTAGATAATAGAATATTTTAACTTTCCGCACTTGATAGGGTGCATGATAGACCTCCTGAAGGGTCTCTTTAAAATAGGCATTGAAACAGAGGACCTGTTTATCATATGCCAACCAGGGTGGTAATTTGGGACCAACTTTTGGTGGATAAACGGAGGGTATTTGTGCCGGGGGGCAATTGGGGTCAACTATCATGCCACTGGGGTCTACCAAGCCAGGGGGTTTGCGATCATTTAGCATACTAATGCCCTTGTAGTTCATCAACGATTGCGGTTTGGGATATTTTGTTTTGGTGATCTGAGGTAAGTTGAAAATTTTATGCAATTTGAATTTCAGAAAATAAAATGTATCCATAACTTACATCCCGAAAAGTGGTCCCTGGTAGCAGCGGCATTCCTGGTATGCGTATCATTTTGCTGTAAGTTTTTTAGGAGTTTGTCGAATTTGAAAAAATTAAGTTTTATAAAAAATATATCTGTTTCCTCAAGGCAAATACTTTGGAATATGTCATAGAAAACAATTCTATAGGGAAAAGTATTGCCAAGAGTTTGTTTGTTGGCGGGTTGCTAAGTTGCCCTTAAACATTCCGCTGAATACCGTTGAAGGTAGATTAATGTTTTTTAAAACAACTGGAATTGTTGTCAGGGTAATGTGTGAGGAAATAAACAACGAATTATTGAAGAATATCGGAACATTTAAAACAAATAGTGGTACTCAGCAGAATTTTATATATTTTAACTTTTGCAATATGTTTCAATAAATATCTTAAAGTTTATATTCAGCTAGCTGAATAGAATAATTGACTCAATATTTCATTAATTTTTGGATTTTTATAAGTTTGTGTATAAAAAGAACTTATTCAGCTAGCTAAATATATTTTTTATGGATAATTTTATAGTTTTAAATGTATCATTACAAAGAAAAGTGTTATTCAGCTAGCTGAATTACTAAATACTACTTCCATGTTATAACATAGTGTCTCAAATATTGTATTCAGCTAGCTGAATTGTATATTTGAATTAATATTTCATTATTTATTGCATGTTTATAAGTTTGTGTATATAACGGACTTTTTCAGCTAGCTGAATTACTAAATACTACTTCAATTGCATCACATAGTGCCTCAAATTGTATATTCAGCTAGATGAATAGAATAATTGACTCAAAATTTCATTAATTTTTGGATTTTTATAAGTTTGTATATATGAAGGACCTATTCAGCTAGCTGAATATAATTTTTTATGGATATTTTTCCATTTTTAAATGTATAATTGCAAAGAAAATTGTTATTCAGCTAGCTGAATTAATAAATACTACTTCAATGATAACCCATAGTGTCTTAAATTTTATATTCAGCTGAATAGAATAATTGACTCAACATTTCATTATTTATTGGATTTTTATAAGTTTGCATATATAAAGAACATATTCAGCTACCTATAATGTTATTATATTCAGCTCATTATCTATATATTCAGCTCATCATCTATATACAAAAAGTCTTATTCAGCTAGCTGAATACAATTTATAAATGTCATTTTTCCATTTTTATATGTATAATTACAAAGAAATTTGTTATTCAGCTAGCTGAATTGCATTTGAAGCATACATGTTGGGCAGGTTTTTATTAAATATTACATATAATGTCATGAAGCTCATATTTAGCGAGCTGAATAGAATATTTGAGTCTCACTTATTCAGCTAGCTGAAGTTCACTTTGGAGCCTTTTTAATGCATATAATTATACTTACTTTAAATTGTAGGTTATAATTTCACAATTTTATACCAAATGCCACTATTCAGCTTGTTGAATTCGATTAGTATATAAATATTTCCACTTTTCAGCTAACTGAATTTAACTTTGATGCAATGTTTTTACAAATATTTGTAAGTAATTTTATCAGCAGATTATAATTTCACTATTCAGCTTGCTGAATTACATTTTGGAGAGATATTTTTACAAATATTTATACTTATTTTAATTTCTAGATTATAATTTCACTATTCAGCTGACTAAAATTGTAATTTTATACCAAATACTACTTATTCAGCGAGCTGAATTAGAATTTTAAAATTTATTCAATTACAAAAAGTAAATATTTCCACATTTCAGCTAGCTGAATTTAACTTTGAAGCAATATTTTTATAAATATTTGTATGCAAATTTTATCAGTTGATTATAATTCCACTATTCAGCTAGCTGAATTACACTTTGGAGTCATATTTTTACAAATATTTATACTTATTTTAATGGGCAGACTACAATTTCACAATTCAGCTGATAATTTATACCCTATATTCCTAATTCAGCTAGCTGAATTCAATTTTTAGAATTTTATAAAAGAAGATTATACTACTCAGCTAGCTGAATTTAAGTTTGGAGCAATATTTGTACAAATATTTATACATATTTTAATTTGCAGATTATAATTTCACTATTCAGCTAGCTGAATTATTAGTTTATACAAAATTCTACATATTCAATTAATTTAATTATTAGTTTATACAAATTTTACTTATGCAGCTAAGTTTTTTTTTGTTAATACAACATTCTACATATTCAGCTAGCTGAATTATTAGTTCATACCAAATATTACATATTCAGCTAGCTGAATTATAAGTTTATACCAAATATTACTTATTCAGCTAGCTGAATTATTACTTTATACCAAATACTACTTATTCAGCTAGCTGAATTCGATATATAGAATTTATGAAAACACCAAAAATAAATATTTCGAATATATCAAATTTATTTCAAATCAAATTTACAAATTCTTTACAATTTCGAGTTAACATGTATAGCCAAGACACCATCCTCTTCAGACTTGCGAATAGTAATAGTGGCACGACCATCCGAACCAACCACCACCGATTTACCAGTACAACTGGAACCAGATTTCAAACCCGAAATAATGTCACAATAAGTACCAGCTGGCAAGCATGTTTGCAATGTAGTATTCATATCATACGAATCACCATTCAAAGCAATGAAAGCCTTATTACCGCGACAGAATGCGATCTGATTGCTACCATTATCATACCAATTTTGAACGGCTGTATTACCGGCAACATTACGGAATCCAACCATGTTGTAAATTTGACGCCAACGATGTTCACAAACCCAACCGCCACTGCAAGAGTTATCAGCATTGAATGTCGGAGAACGAATGGTATTACCATCGGTGGTGGGTGGTCCCTGATCGGTATTGTCGAAGGCGAAGGAGGACATAACACGTGTAATACCGAAGGGATGGGCCAACATAAAGGCATTGGCCATTTTATATTGTTTCGAGGTTTTATAGTTGAGGATATCAGCACCGCCAGCACCATGACCACGTTGATTATCGTGATTATCGACGAAGACCAAAGAACGATCGGAGGGCATGAAACCCCATGCGGTACCCCAGTTGACCAACCAACGCATTTGATCTTTACCACGGAATACCTTACCAATGGAATCGGAATGTCTGAATTCGGTGACGGCACCCAAATCGGTGTATTCATATTTGGAGATGGCCTCGCCGCCCATATCGATAACTTCTTGAACGATGAAGGGGCGGGTGTTGGCTGCGAAACCATGGGCTGTGTTCAAGTTGTTCAGGCGGGAGTAGATAACCTATGGGGGAAAAATAAATGGGAGGGATTAAAAATTGAGTTTGTTTTCAAAAGTTTAATATAGGTCATGTTTTAATATAGCGCCCATATAAAGACCCGTCCAAATTTCAATTTTTTAAGGATCCTTTGGCTATTTGAAAACTGAAGTGACTATAATTGGGTCTTACGTTCTCTAGGTGTTTGAAAAACTAGTTCGCAGATGATGTTTGGTATAGGTCTATATAGTGATCCCGCCCCATTTTACAATTTCTGATGGTCTTAGACACATTTTCTTAAAAAAATCTTCACAGAAATTTTTTAAGAAGGTTCCGTTTGTTTTTGGATATTTTGTTTAGGTTCTTGTTTAGGGTTCTTGAAGGATGAAAAATTATTTTTACATACAATATAATATAATTTTGGGATTCCAGGTTCTTGCGAGATGAAAAAATATCCTTATATAAAATTTTCAAAAAAAGGTCCGTGTAACGGCATAGCCCATATGAAGGGTTCCGCCCATGTTTAGGTATTTTGAAGGATTTAGCCGCATTTTTTCACCAAATTAGCTGCAATTTCGTATTTTGGGTTCTCTTTAAGTAGCAAATCTCTCTACCAAAAATTATGAATGTTGGTCCATTTTTAGAGTAGCCTCGATATAACGGTACCCTCAATATTCGGTATTTTGGAGATTTTGGGCAAGTTTCTTAATCGAATTGGCTGTAATTTGATATTCTGGGTTCTCAATAGTTGTAAAACCTGCATACCAAATATTATTAATATTGGACCACGTTTTGTTATAGCCCCCATGTAACGCCATCCCCAATTTTCGATATTTTGGTCATTTTAGGCACGCTTTTCAACCAATTTTCCTGTAGTTTAGTATTTTGGGTTCTCATTGGGTAGGAAATCTATCTACTAAAAATCATTAATATTGGTCCACTTTTAATAGTAGCCCCCATATAACGGCATCCTCAAAATATCGATATTTTGGGTAGCTTGGGCACATTTTTCAAACATATTGGCTGTAATTTGGTATTTTGGTGTCTCATAGGGTGGAATATCTCCGTACCCAAAATTATCAATATTGGTATACTTTTGAGGGTAGCCCCCATATAACTGCACCCCTGAAATTTCGATATTTTAGGGAGCTTGGGCACGTTTTTCAAACAAATTGGCTGTAATCGGGTAATTTGGGTTCTCTTTAGGTACCAAATCTTCCTACCAAAAATCATTAACATTGGTCCACTTTTTAGGGTAGCCACCATACAACGGTACACTCATTATTCGGTATTTTAGGGAGCTTGAACACGTTTTTCAACCTAATTGGCTGTAATTTGGTATTTTGAGTTCTCATTGGGTAGACAACCTCCGTACCGAAAATCATTACCATTGATCCACTTTTTAGGGTAGCCCTCATATAACGGTAGCCCGAAAATTTCGATATTTTGGGAGCTTGGACACGATTTTCAACCGAATAAGCTGTAATTTGATATTTTGGGTTCTCAAAGAGTATGCAACCTCTCTGCCCAAAATCATCAATATTGGTCCATGTTTCAGGATAGCCCCCATACAACGATACCCCCAATTATTCGATATTTTGGGGATTTTGGGCACATTTTTCAATCGAATTGGCCTTAATGTGTTATTTTGGTTTCTTCCAACTTACCTTCAAATCAGCTGGCCACATATGTTTAGCAGCATCGACGCGGAAACCAGCAACACCCAACGAAATCAATTTATTCATAAATTCCACGATGCGATCGCGTACCCATTCCTTACTTTGATCCAAATCCTTCAAACCAACCAATTCACAATTACGGACTTGATTGACATCATTATAGTTGCTAATGCCACAAGTGGCATGGAAATCAGTTGAGGAATAAGGTACGGCAGGGTAACTCTTTGAATTGGGATCAGCCTTAGAACCACCAGTACCCACAACCGAGGCGTGACTGGCAGCCATATGATTGAAAACAATATCGACATAGATGCGTACACCAACATTGTTGCAACGTTTAACCATACTGGCGAATTGGGCTTCATTACCGGAACGGGTGGTCATCAAGTAGGAGACGGGTTGATAACGTTCCCACCAGGGACGATTGGCAACAACTACATTTTCGGTGACGGGGGAGACCTGTTATGAGAAAAAACCGTTAGGTTTTTGTTATAGGCTTAGCATAACCTCAAAATTTAATGTCGTTTCTTTTAACTCACCTGAACACCAGCATAGCCCTTGGGCGCCAAGAAATTTTCACATTCCGCCGCAATGTCATCCCATTTCCATTCGAACAAATGGACCATGGTATCGCGACCCGATACATAATTTGGATTGAATTGACCCCAGGCCAATTGGCTAGAAATGGCCAAGAGCAGAACAGCGCTCACTTGGATTTTAGTGAAAAACATTTTAACGTTTCACCAGTAAAACTTTCACTAAAGCAACCTTCCGAAGGCCAACCGCTTTTATACTCTCTCTCCCTCGATATTAGGGGGCCTGTTGTGAAAGTTCACACTCCCCAAAGCTCTCCCTTCAAAAATTGGCAAGGTAAGATTGTGTCCGATTGATTTGTGACTATTGAGTTATCACCGCAAAAAAAATCACACTCCCAGTTCTTTGTCGGGACAGATACACAACAGCGGCACGACTTTTCTTATCGGGATACCAGCTTCTGAGGTTAACAATTGATGTATTTCTGAGATTAGATAAAAATACATTTCATATTACATTTAGTTTAGAAATAGTTTCGATTCACAAAAGTTCGGTTAGATAGGCAAATGACTTGTTGTTGTAATTTTGCAAAAATAAATTTTGTTATCGCCTATTATTTATGGGACCCGGATTTATTATGAAAAGGGACCATAATTTATTATAGAAATATATTGGAGAGAGTCATTTTGATGATTGGTCGATTTTTATACCGGTCAAGGGCGGTATATGAATTAGTGGGGGAATGTAATAAATTTTCGTAATAACAGATATTCGCATAGATGGACTTTATTCGAACCTTTAAATTAACTATAGATTTACAATTCAGTCTAAATATTTTTTTGAACAAATACAAACTGGTAAAGTCCGCAAAAGATGAATTCAGCTATTCGAATGTAATTATACACAATATTATATTTTTAACCGGATAATAATCAACTCAGCTAGAAAATGCAGAATTGCAAAGACTGAATTATATATATATATATATATATATAGACTAAATTTGCAATCTATCTATTGTGGTTAAAACATATGTGTGTATATATATATATATATATAAATATATGTATATAATTAGCTGAATATTATCAATTGTGTACATATTGTATTGTAATTACAATGTAAACGTGTATTTACTATTCAGCTAGCTGAATAGCATTCTTACGTTGCTTGTCTTTATTCAATATTGAAACAGATGGCTTTTTTATGAAAAATATTTGTTTATGGACCAAATATTTTCCATAGCATTAGCTGAATTTAATACAGAATCTTAATTTTAACAAATATAATATATTCAGCTGCTCAATTGAATTATTAAATACGGAACTGTCACAAGTGTATAGATCATGATGAATCCTTCGCACAATAAACAAGTTAAGTTCGGCCGAGCCGAACTTTGGATAACCTCCACCATAGGATTCTTGAAATTAAAATATGAGGAACATTCCAAATAGAGGACCTATATCGATAATTCTACCAAACGATTGTTGTAAACCAAATACAAATTTCAATGTGACTTTCCCTAAAAATCTCAAAACCCCAAAACTTTGACCTATATTATAAACGCATGGTAGGGTGAAACATGTGTATAGAATCCTCAAAATACTGCAATTTAGAGGCAAATTTATATGATGTATACTACAGCGTGACCAATATTGAAAACATTGTATAGAAATTAGCGAATATTTGGTGTTTTCATTATATGAGGGGTTATACCTAATTAGGGACCGATATAACACAAGTTCCAAGCTAATATTTTAGTTTTGTATTCCAATACCTTCCTTCACGTTAAATATTAAATCGGTAGGAGATTCATTCTCGAACCGAACGTTCTAGTTTTTTTATTTCCATATCCTCTGAATGAAGAATGATTACAATATTTGGCTAAATCGACAAAACGCGATCAAAGCCCTCGAAATCTTGAAAATTTACCGAAAAGAGTGGAGCTATATTTATAATTTTTAGTGGAGATATTTGGTACCCTATAAGAATTCAAAGTGCCAAATTAGAGCGAATTTGGTTGAAAAATCCCCTTAAAAACCCTAAAATACCGTTATAAGGGGGCTACCAGAAAAAGAGGACCTATATTTATAATTTTTTTTTTTGTGGAAAATATTGGTAGCCTATAAGAACCCATTGTAGCAATTTTCAGCGAATTTGGATGAAATTCGCGCTCAAGAATCCCAAAATATCCCATATTTCAGGCTACCATTATAGTGGGGGCTACCAGAAAAAGGGGACCTATATTTATAATTTTTAGTGGAGAAATTTGGGGACCTATATTTATAATTTTTAGTGGAGAAATTTGGGGACCTATATTTATAATTTTTAGTGGAGAATTTTGGTACCTAATTTCAGCGAATTCGGTTGAAAAACGCTCTTAAAACCCCCAAAATACCGAAAATTATGGGAGTTATACTTAAACGGGAGCTATACCTAAACGTGGACCGATATGACCCATATTCAAACTTGGTGATCTATCTAAATTAGGGCCCCAAATGATTATTGCGATGAGTTACACACCGAAAAACTAAATTAAGGGGACCCCCCCATTCTCGGGGTCAAAATTTTTGTTGACTTAATTCGAATCTACACTAATTCAAGAATGTCCCTGCAAAATTTCAAGTAAAAATCTCAAGAACTCTTGAAGATATAGCCGATTTATTGTGTCAGCATTAAGTGACGACTAAAGGGCTTCTCAAACTTTAAACTCGTTTTTCTCTAAACATTTTTTTGCGAATGGCGGGCACGATAACTCAAAAACTAATAACCCAATCGATTTCAATTTTTACACGTTTCTCTGTGAGTGTGTAGCTATCGTATGAACTAGGATAAAGCCAATCGGTGAAGATCTTCCTTATTTTTTAACTTGGTTTTTGGTAAAAAATCGGCGATTTTCCAAAAATATTTTTTCAAAGGTCCGCCATTTTGTTAATTTTAGAGCGAAGTCAATAATCCTAGTTCATACGAGAGCCAGACATGTACTCTTTCTCTTCGGATTCCGATGTTCCAGGGAGGAGTTATCATGCCCGCCATCAAAAATAAGGACTTTTCTTTGATCATAAAAAACAACAACAAAACAACAACAAATTTTTTTGTAAATTATTTTTCTTCCTTTTTAAATCTTCAAATATATATGTGCAAAGTTAGAAACCTTAACAAGCATTGGTATTCATTTACCAGCCCATTTAAAATCTAGAGTGTGGGGGGGGGTTCCCTTAATATACCCTCCATGGAGGGAGGGTACAAAAAAATATAGTCTTTATTAGATCCTGTTAATGTATAGATGACTATTGTAGCCTGAAATACCCTTACCCCTCAAAACCTGATTCATAAAAGACACCGGTCTGGTATCACATCGATGCTATAGGAAAAATCAGAAGTTAATAATGTGTCGCCATATTCTACCCTTATTATATAGGATATCTTAGGGGCTAAATTACTATCGAATGTAGCCAGAAACCTAACTTGACGTCAAACTGGGCTATTTATACAGGTACAATCATAAACATTTGTGTTATCAGAAAACTATTACACTGTGCAATAAATTTCATTTTTTTAAATTATCGGTAAATTCAAAAAAAAAAAATATATATATATATATATATATATGATTGGAGTGCTAAAAATAGAACACACGTGTATCGGCCTTTTGAAAGTTTACGTCGGGAGGTAACCTAAAAAAGTGGCAATATTTCCCAATTCCAAGACATTTAAACAATATTCCAATTAAGATTTCTCGAAATCCTAATTGAAGATTTTGACACATTTCTGTTCTTTGTTTTGAATTTGACATAGAATATTTCATTCTTTGACACTATGCACGAAAAATGAAGTTTCATGTTTATATAATATAATTTGTTGAGGTCGGTTCGGAAACTTCTTAACCTATCAATGAAAAAGAATAGTTAGTTTTTCAAAAATATTTCTATGTTTTCGATATAATCTCCTGAAACTTCAATACAATTAGTCCATCGCTTTTCTAGCTATTCTATCCCTTGATTAAAATAGTTTTCCTCAAGGTCTTCAAAATAGTGGTTTACAACTATAATTACATCTTCATTTGAGGTAAAACGCTTGCCAGCAAAGAATTTTTTTAGAATACGGTGGGTGGACAAGCATCTCGTACTTTAATTCGTTGATTTTAGCCATTGTTTAAACAATTTTGTGCGCTGGTGTGTTTTATTGAAATATTTTTTTGTGTTGTTAGCCAGGACGATTTTGTTGAATTTTTATTTTTTTTACTAACTCCCATAACTGTTCTTTATTTGATGGGTTTTTTCCTCGTAGAGATGCTTTAACAATTTTCCATAAGTTTTCAATAGGATTTAAGTCCTCTCTACGTCATTATTTTTAAACCAATCTTTAGCTCGCTTCGATGTATGCTTCGGTTCGTTATCTTGTTGGAATACCCATCTAAGCGGCATTTCCCATTCAGCATAGGGCAGCATGACGTTGTTCAATATGTTGGTGTAATAAATTGCATCCATTGTTCCTTCAATTCTAAATAGAGGCCCTGTACCATGGTAGGAAAAACATCCCCATACCATTATATTTCCTCCACCATGTTTAATGGTTTTTCTTGTGTATTGTGGAAGGTGTTCGGAGGTCTTCTTACGGTCAAACTACTCCTATCAGAGTTAAACAAATTAACTTTAGTTTCGTCTGACCATAAAATATTTCTCCACTTATGCATGGGCCAATTTATATAGGGGAGAGGGGGGCACCTTTGAACACTTTTTGCTTTCAAGCCTTATAAAATTTTGTATTTTATAATTTTTGGTTTCTTATAAATTTTAACTAATAGGTACATATGTAACCTTTAAAATGAATATACATATGACATACTATAAGCTTGATAAATATATTTTATTACTCTTTTAATGGACGAACTCAAAGTGTTCAAAACTGCCCCCCCACCCCCCCAGGGGGAAGCTTTGAACAGGTGTTGGCATTTTTTAACGACTTGGTTTTTTACAGTGTTTATGTTCAAATATGTATGTATTTTATTCATACATATCAGAAATGCATTAATTCATTAAAATATATATAAAAAATGTTCAAGATTTAAAAAAATTAGATCAAAATTTTTTAAAACATAAAATGACTTAAAAACAAAAATTAATATGTTGAAAAATACAGTTAATTTCTTAATCTTATTAGCACATTTGAAATTTTGAGAAATCGAAGTCAAAAGTTAAAA